CGGTTTCTTGGGCGGACTTGGAGGCATCTCCTCCTCTCTTGGGCCGTCTTGGAGGCCATCTTGGGCCATTTTGGAGGTCATCTTGGGCCAACGTGACCATATCGGAGGCCATCTTGAGCCGTCTTGGATGATTTTTTTGTGGACGATGAGGTGGTTTTCGCGGCATTCCGGGACTCCGTCGGAACGCGCCGAAGCCCCCGGGGGAGTTCTTTTGGAAAATGAACCAAAGCCGAGAGGATCAGCACGCCAGGCACCCTTGCGATGAATCGACAGGGGGCGGCGGATCGAAGACGTCTACGGCGAATCACCGCCGCCCCCTGGCTTTTTGGAAGCGACTATGTGGCCGAACGTTGAGGCCAGACCTGCCAAGCTATCGGACCATGTGTTCCCCGAATCGGTTTGGAAAGCCTTCGGGGAACACGTGGGCATCTTGAAGGTCATCTGGGCCGTCTGGAAGCCATTTTGACCCTGTCGGCCTTCTTGGAGGACGTCTTGGAGGGCTCTTGGACCGTCTTGGAGGCCATCTTGAGCGTCGTGGAGACATCTTGGGCCGTCCTGTGGGCCTCTTGGGGCCGTGTCTTGGGCCTCTTGGGCGATCTTTGGGGGCACTTGGGCCGTCTCGGTCCGTCGGAAGGCAGAAACAATGCAAATGCACAATCCTTCAAACACCCTATGGGAAATCACAGATTTGGGCCTTTTCGGGCCTTCCTAACGGCCCTATTGGAGGCCTCTTGGGCCGTCTTGGGCCATCTTAGGGCCATGTTCGGCCGTCTTGGTGGGCTCCTGGCCCGTCTGACGCGTCTTGGAGGCATCCTTGGGCGTCTTAAAGGCCTCCTGTGCCGTCTTGGGGGTCTCCTGGGGCCGTCTTGGGGCCTTTTGGGCCGTTCTGGTGCCATCTTGGAGGCCTTCTGGGACATCTTTCGGCGATCTTTGGGGGCTCTTGGTGCGTCTCGGGCCGTCGGAAGGCCGTAAAGAAGGAAATGCCAACATCCGTCAAACACCTTAGGAAAGTCAAGGTTTCTGGCCGTCTTGGGCCAGCTTCGAGCCAACTTTGGCCATCTTGGTGGGTTCCTGGCGCGTCTGACGCCGGCTTGGGGGCCGTCTTGCATGCCATCTTGGGCGTCTTGGAGACCATCTTGGGCGTGTTGGAGGCCTCTTGGGCCGTCTTGGTTGGGGCCCTCTTGGGGCCGTCTTGGAGGCCACTTGGGCCGTCATGGGGCCCTCTTGGGGGCCTCTTGGGCGATCTTGGGGGCCTCTTGGGCCGTCTTGAGCCGTCGGAATGCCGAGAAGAAGCAAAAACCTAAGGAAAATCAATGATTTTGGCCTCTTCGGGCCCTCCTGGGGGACCTCTTGGAGGCCTCTTTGGCCGTCTTGGAGGCCTCTGCGGGGCCTCTTGGGCCGTCTTTGACTCTCTTGGGCCGTCTTGGAGGCCGTCTTGGACCATCTTGGGCGGACTTGAAGGCCATCTTGGTCCATCTTCGCGATTTGTTGAGGCTGTCCCTAGCGAACCGGCCGTTTTGGGCATTGACTTGTGCAGTTTCTGGGTGGCCGGCGGACGGGCCGAAGCCCCAGGGGGAGTTTTTTTTTCTCGAAAAAGAGCGAACACTTAAAGCCATACCTATACGACCACCCTGCGGGTGATAAGGAGGTGAGGGGGGAGGGGGAACCAACGTCTCACTCAATCGATCTCGCTATCGATCTCACATTCGGTCTCACATTCGGTCTCACATCGGGACACATCATCATCATCATCATCATCATCATCATCATCATCATCATCAGCATCAGCATCAGCATCAGCATCACATCATAATCATCATCATCATCATCAACGTCATCATCATCATCATCATCATCATCATCATCATCATCATCATCATCATCATCATCATCATCATCATCATCATCATCATCATCATCATCATCATCAACATCATCATCATCACCATCATCAACATGATCATCAACATCCTCGTCATCGGGACACCATCTTCATCAACATCATCAACGTCATCATCATCACCACCATCATCATCACCATCATCACCATCATCACCATCATCACCATCATCATCTCACAATCGATCTGACTATCGATCTCACAATCGATCTCACTATCGATCTCACAAGCGATCTCACATTCGGTCTCACTACCGATATCACAATCGATCTCGCAATCGACGTCATCATCATCATCATCATCATCATCATCAACATCAACATCATCAACATCATCATCATCATCGCCATCATCAATATCATCATCATCATCATCATCATCATCATCATCATCATTACCATCATCAACATCAACATCATCATCATAATCGTCATCATCATCATCATCATCATCATCATCATCAACATCATGATCGGGACACCGACGGGACACCGACGGGACACCAGCGGGACACCGGCGGGACACCGCGCGCCACCGGCCGCCCGGTGGAGAATCATTTGGTCCGGCCGCGCCTCAGCCACAGAGGACACCACCGGGACACCGGCGGGACACCGCGCGCCACCGGCCGCCCGGTGGAGAATCATTTGGTCCGGCCGCGCCTCAGCCACAGGAGACTTTCCTTTCGCCCGCCCACGCAGCTTCGCCTCGCCCGCACGCACGGCACGCACGAACACGAAACCGAAATCGCTTTCCCGGTAGGGGGGCTCTCCGTTCCACTTCGATCTCACCCCCTCACCTCCGATCGTCTGGCACGCCAGGCACCCCCCCTTTGATACATCAAAAGGGGGCGGCGGATCTGCGGGCCTTCGGCCCATCCCGCCACCGTTCCTGGGTTTGAGGTATGAAGCCTATTGGATGTTTGTTGGGATACGCCTCTTGAGGCCCCTTTTGGGCCTCTTGGGGGCAACTTGTGGCTGCTTGGGGGCCTCTGGGGGGCCTCTGGAGGCCTCCTGGGCGCCTCGTGGGGCCTCCTGGGGGCCTCTTGAGGCTTCAGATGTTCGGTTCATACTTCCTCTCTGGAGCCCCTTTTGGGGCCGTCGTGGAACCGTCTTGGGTGCATCTTGGGCCGTCTAGGGCCCCCCTTGGGGGTCGTTCTTGGGCACTCTTCGCGGCCGCTTGGGAAGTCTTGGGGTGGTCTCGGGGGCCTCTAGGGCCGCTGGGAGCGTCGGGAAGCAGAGACATCGAGAACGCTCAAATCCTTCAAACACCTAAGGACAATCAAGAATTCCTGCCTCTTGGGGCCCTCTTGGGAGCCCTCTGGGGGGCCCTCTTTGGGTGTCTTGGAGGCCTCTTGGGCCGTCTGGGGGCCATTGTGGGCATCTTGGAGCGATCGTTCGTCGACTCGGGCCAACTTGGACCGTCTTGTGGGCTTCTTGGGGCCCTCTTGGCCACTCTTGGGGCCCTCTTGGGTCCGAAACGGTCACGCGAGAAGACGCGCCAAGCCCCAGACAAGGCGCGACAAGCCCCAGAAGATCTAGGCCGATGGGCTCCGAACTCCTTCATAACTCCTCAAGAGTGATGACTGAGGCTCAGAAGGGTCGTAAGAGGATCTTATGACGCGCCCACTCCGTGCCCAGCTTCGCGGTGACAGTTTTTGACACTATATCGCTCACACCACCTAGCTTATGTAGCTTTCACCTCCAACCCACGCCGCCCTTCGTACACGGCATAGCTCACACCGCATCGAGTGCACCGCACAGTTGTCATGTCGTAGCTCACGCCACATCGCTTACACGACATTCTAGCTTTCGCTGCATAGCCTATACCGCATATTCTTCACCTCCACCGAACAATAGCGCACTCTCTAGGGTCCACGCTGGCTACTATTCAGAAGCTGTACGCCATTCCGCCGACCCCCAGGAGAAGGACGACGTCGACGTGGGTCTTCTGGGGGGTCCTTGTGGGTTCTGTTTGAGGTCGTCTTGGGGCCCTCTTGGGTCGTCGTGGGGCCCTCAACGGCAGTCTCGTGGGCTGTCTTGGGGCCCTCTAGGGGCCCCCCCTTGGAGCTCTCTTGGGGCCTTCTTGTCCCACCTTGGGCGCCTCTGGGGCTGGCCTGGCGCGCTTTCGGGCCGTCTTGGGGTCCTCTGTGGGGTCTCTTGGGCTGGCTTGGCGCGATCTTGGGGGCCACCTGGCCTGATGTGGGCGCTGTTGAATGAACAGTGTGCGCTTGCTAAACGTATATGGTTTCGTTCGGGATCGGAGGGAAGTTTGCGTCGTGGGGTTCCCTTGGGAGGTTGTTAGGTGCGCCTTGTAGGCTTCTTGGGCCGTCTTGAAGCTGTCCTTGCTGTTTGTGGGCCCCCTCGGCGTGTTGAGGCTAAGCTTGAGTAAGCTTCGATGGAACCTTGGGTATCTTGGAGGCCCTGACTGTAAGTCTTGGGGCTCCAGCAGTTCCAGGAGTGCGTTTAGGAGCCCAAGGGTCCCCTCCCTCCCGACCCCTCCCCCTCCTTTCTAAAGTGGTTTGGGGCTTCAGGGGAGTGACTGGGGCAGGGGAAGAGGGACCGCCAATCATCTCACACGCCTTCGCACCCCTGGCAAGCGGTGGTCGGCGGATTTTTTTTGGGGGGGGGCAGCTAAGGGTCCGTTTCTGGCCGTGGGGCTGAGCCGACGTTTTGGTCAGCATGGATTCCAGGAGGGGTTCCGCGATCATTGTTGGGCGACTCCGAGGAGGGGGGTGGATTGTTTTTTGGCAGCATCAACAAGTGAACGCACGGCCAAACTCCAACTGAGAACGGGTGCAGCCGCCAAAAAGTTGAGAACGAACCGAGCGAGCACGCGGGGCATCTGTACAACCCCTGCAGACCCCTGGGGCGGCCAGAACCCTTGCAGACCCCTCGGGCGCGGTGCGAAGCCACCCTGCCAGCGAAGACTCACCACAAGCTCGATCCACGGCGGCCGCCCATCGCCCGAGATCGGCGCGGTCTGCCCCCCTATGCTGGGGCGAAGACAAAAAGCGTAGCAGCAGGACTGGAGGGCGGGCCACTGCCGCGACCTCGCTTCCCACAACCCAGCCTGTAGCTGGAGCGCGGCGGCTGCTGCGAAGGGAGCGGCACAACGAGATCTCGCTGCAGCTGGCTGGTCGGACCAGCGCGCGACGCGCGCGATCCGTGCGGCACGCAGAGACAACCCGTTCGTTAGACGAGTCTGAAGCAGCGCGATGCCTGCGCGGCTGTCCTTCGGAGGAGCGAAGCTGCGGGCCTCGCGGGGCTTCCGTGTTCGCGGAGCTCGGAGGCGAATCTGCGAAGGACCTTGGCCAGGGCCGTTCTCGTCTCGGCTGGGGGGAGGCTCCGCAGGAGGAGGAGGAGGCACACTGCGAGGTGACAGAGCTTTCTGTCTCGGGTGTCGACCTCGAGCGCATTTCTTCCAGCGAAGCCGTGGGACCCGCATGCTGTGGTCGGTGAGTGCAGCGGGCAGGGGCGGGCATCTCTACTTCAGGCATCGGACCCGGGCCCCGCAGAATACGGCTTGCAACGGGTGCATGCCACGGGTGCATGCAGAGGGTGCGTGCGGCCGCGGCGGAGCCGTCCGAGCAATCGAACGCATCTATAGCGCGACCCAAACACGCGAGTGCCTCCGAGCTGAGCCCCTGACGGCCCGAGGGTCCAGGACACCTGGAGCACGGGGGGGCGGGCAAACGCGATTTTTCTGAGACCTGATGCTCTCTGAGACACATCGAGCACTGCCAGACGGCGCGGATCCTGACCCAGTTGTGGCAATCATTCTCACGCGCAACTGCGGCGCCCTGCGGTTTCACCCAAGGCAGGTCCGAGAGATCGAGATGCGGCCGGGCGGGGAGAAGTTTCGCGGCTAACTTCGCTACCGTACGCGCAACGTCGATCTTCCTCGTCAGAAGCTCCACCTTTCCGTGGACGGCCCAGGGTGGTGTTCGCGGCCCAGATTGGCCAGCTTATCAGCATGGACACTCCCAGCTCGCTTGAACAATTCATCTGCGGGCAGTGTGTCGTCTAGCTCCTGGTGAGCCTTGACTTTGACCCTGTCTCTAACGTGCCTGACGTCCTCGTCTCTAGCGTGGGGCGTAAAACCCGAGCGACCCCTCTTGTGCGAGAGGGCCAGCAGCGCCGCCAGATGCCAGTGGCTCACCACCGATTGACCGTCAGAGTAAATCTGGGATGGCCCGCAGAACATATGCAACGCAGCCGCGTGTTGCCCTCATCTCCCTGAGGCGCGTAAGGCCAGGGGGCCCACAAAGGCAGGCCTCTGTGCCGAAGCTCCCAGAAAGGACGGAGATAGCAGGATCCATCAACAGAGGCATGGCCCGAAAGCGGAATGCTATCAACGGCGTCCCCTTCGGGAACGACCGACCCCCCCCAGGGGCATGGCTCCGAAACGTACTCCCTCCATCAGTCAATGCCCGTGGGAAAGAGTCACCTGGGTTCTGGCAGAGGCCCTGGTGTAAAGCAGGGGGTCGTGAGACTCAGCCTCCAAAGCGGACTGGATCATGCCCGTGTGTTTTCCCCGACGATCGAGTCCCTGTCCTCCTGGCGCGCAGGACAGCTCCAGAGTCTCATCAGAGGCGCAGTTTCAACAGCAGCTCCGAGGGAGAGAGCACTCGTCTTCGTCTGCACTCCTGATGCAGCCCCTCACCGCGGCGAACGTACCAAACAAGGCCAACCAATGTCAATCATTGCCAAGCAACGCCAGGCACTGCAAATCAATTCAAGCCAACGTGGTGCCAAGCAAAGCCATGCAATGTTCAGCAATGCCAAGCAACGCCGCTTAGGAAGCGTACTTCTCACTGAGGTCGCGCTGGACTCATTCAGCTTCAGGGTCGTACACTGCATGGAAGTGGTAAGTGAAACGGCCCGCCCCGCCTATGGACACGTCTGGTGGTGCGAGAAGGGGCGCAGTTGTTCATGAGGATGAAGGGTTGGAGCGGCATAGCGATACCGATACCCTTCCGTCGTTCTCGCCTTCTTGGGCCTCCTTGGGGCGGTTCTCTTCGCCACGGCTGGATTCGCCTCGGCATCCTGATCAGCACGCACCCTGGGAAAGGTCTGCGGAGTAGCGGCCGGAGCGTGCGTGATTCGTGCCAGCACTTCCTTGGGGTCAGCCGGTCCCCTCTAATCCATCAGCGATGCTGCTAACTCCCTACTCATAAGTCCCTACAAGCATTCCTCGTCACTGCAAGCAGCGCCCCACTTGAAAGACCAGCAGCCTGTGGGTCTGCCTGTCAGGCGATGGCCACGTTTTGGAAAGGCGCTGCTCTGCACCCTTTTTTGCGCACAATTTGACATGCGAAGAGGTAGGATCACAGTTCAACGAGGTTCGGCCACGTGCAGAAGGGGGGTAGAGGAAGGGGGAAGGCTTCTCAGAAACGACCCTGTTTCTTATAAGGCGCGGGCCTCATTCATAGATGTAGGGCCGGCGCCTTCTAATAAGCCCCCTCCTTCTAAGAAGCCCTCCCCCCTCCCCTCACCCCCTTGTGCGCGCCGCCATGAGGTGTCCAGGGCGACCCCCTTTTTGACAAGCGGCAGACCCCATGTGTGTAATAGTGCCGCAGGGTTCCATTTTTGGTCATGCACTTCAGGGAAGTCTCTAGCCACAACCTCATGTTGAAGTGGAACCGCCCTCCATCCGGAGAGCTTCTTTTTTATTTTGCAGTTTTGGTTGAATGCTAATGAGGTCTCCAGCGACGTCCGCATGTCGACACGGAGCCGTCCTTCATCCTTTTAGTCATTGTCGCAAGCTTGGATGACGTGTGTGCGCGGCGCTGAGGCGAGATCCCACTATTCAACCATAAGCATTGCTGCATTGTTTTGGTAGGAATGTACGCGGCGCGAACGCGAGACGTCCAGTTCGAGGCCGCCCCCTCTATCGTCGTAAGTGTTGTAAGCTTTCAATACGAACATGCGTTGAGCTCTGGCGAAAGCCCCATTTTGAAAACGACCTGTGCTCCATTCTTGCAGTTGAATGTTGCATTAGTTTGACGAATGTGCGTGGTGTTTATGGCGAGAGCCCCATGTAGAATTCTACCTGTATTTCATCCTCGTGACGATCGCAAGCTTCGGGACGAATGTGAGCTGCACCAAGGCGAGAGCCTCAAGAAGAGAGCCTCCACCTCCGCCTTCATAACGGTTGCAAGCTTCTAAGACGAATTTTCAGATGACGCTACGGCGAGAGCTCCATTTTGAAAAAGACTTGCGCTCCATACCCTAGAGGCTTACGCCATTTCGCCGACCCCAGTCCACGGTTTGGGAGCCTCTGGAGGGTTGTTGTGGGCCTCTTGGGTCCTTCGGGGGGGTTTTGAGCGTTTGTTGGCGGTCTCGGGGGCTCTTTCGTGGCGGAGGGTTCAAACAATCAGTTTCAGTTACCCCCCTTGGGCCCCTCTTGAGCCCTGTTGGGGGCCCCGTGGGTCGTCTTGGGCGCGTCTTGGGCCGCCTTCTGGCCCTCTCTTTCTTTCGTGGGGCCCTCTCGGGGGCTGCTTGGACCATTTTGGAGCAATCTCGGGGGCCTCTTGAGCCGTCTTGGATGCTGTTTAGACCCAAACAGCGAATATGCTGAACATGTACGTTTCCCTCATGGAATTTGGCGATGTCTGCTTCTTGGGGCCCTCTCGGCGATCTGCTGGGAGCATGTTTGGGCCGTCTTGGGGGCTTTGTGGAGCGTCTCGGAGGCATTTTGGGCCCTCGCGGGATTACCTTGGGCTGTTTCGATGCTCGCGTGGACTACCTGGGCACGCCGTTTGGGCTCTCAGGGGCTTTCTTGGATCCCTTTGGAGGCTCTGGACGAATCGGCGTGGCGCTATGCTACGACTTGTGTTCCATCTTCGTACCTGTTGCAAGCTTTCACGACGAATGTGGGCGGCGCTGATTCGATGGCTTCATTTTGAAGGCGACTCTGTCTCCATGCGGTCCACTGTTGCAAGTTTCAAGCTTCAGGGCCGTACATGGTGAGGAAGCCTCAGGTGAAAGGCCAGTCCGCCCTACCGACACGTCAGGGTTGGGACAGCTATCCATCAGGACACGGGATGATGATGAGGAGGAGAGGAGGATGCTAGTACACGCCAGTTGCATCTGCGATGCTGCAATACACTTTCCCACGCCCCCGCCTCAGAAGTCCTTAGAAGTATTCCTTTCGCCCCCGTTTGCCAGACGAACGCCCCGGGGGTTGTAAACGATCTACTTTCAATTTGGAAGCAGTAACAATCAGTGCAAAGAGAGAGGGACATAAGGTCCACGGACTGTCCAGCGATAGCTTCGTTTTCAAACAAGGTGCGCCCACCATCCGTGTAAGCGTTGCACAAGTTCAAATATCTTGTCTGAGTATTCGACGACGTCTCGAGCGAGGGCCCTATTTTCAAGATGAGCCGCGCTTTCTCCGTGCTCTTCCAAGGTGAACTTCGGGTCATAAGCGTAGAGAGTTATTTGCCCAACATAAGTGTAACTGCTGGGTTTGTTTCAGACAGGGTCGGCGTGGCGCCATAAGCGGAAATCGAATTCTGGAACTTCTAGAATTGGTTGTGCGCCGCGTTAGGGCGAGAATCGCGAGCACGACCGTTTTTCCATCCTCAGCTTCTGGATAGCAAGTTGCCATGGCATATACAGCGACACGCCCGTCCCAGCCCCCACACACATGTCTGGTGGTGCGACATGGGGGGAGGAGGAGGAGGAGGAGGAGGAGGAGGAGGAGGAGGAGGAGGAGGAGGAGGATCGACGAGACAGGTCAGCGGCAATCGTCAGCGTCAGCGTCAGGAGGGGTAGCAGGATGAGGAGAAGGGAGGAGAGGAGGACAGGAAGGAGGAGAGGAGGAGGGGAGGATGCGAGCAGGAGAGTCCTCTTCCTCCTGAGTCCTCTGCTTGCCTCGACCCCCCCTCCTCCCTCCCCTAGCGGCGCTTCCTTGGCCCACCATTCCTTATTTTTTGCCATGTCCTGGTTCTTTGAATCGACTTCCAGCATGCGTGTGCAGCGTGCAACGAGAGCAGGAGGAGGAGCACAAAGGTCCGTCCAGAGCGGCAGCGGCACCTCGTGCCCCCCACCACCAGACCAGGAGCGGCGGGACGTCGAGCGGCGGGATTCGCCGCGGCGCCGGAGCCGTTCCCGGCAGCGCAGAGAGAGCGACGGACCCAAAGGGGGGTTGCAGTGTTCTGCTCGTCGGCGTCGTCGTCGTCTTCCTCATCCTCGTCCTCCGGATTTTAGATTGTTGATTCAGCCGCTCATGGTCGTTAGTTGTGTTCCCCCCTGTTCTCTCGGCGGTGAATAGGACTGGTCCTAAAACCTCCTACGTTTCTACGTTTCTCGCTATGCAGCGTCTTGTCGCGCGCCCCGCGGGCGCGGAGCGCTCTGCAGCGGCCCTCCAGGGCCGTGCGGGCACTCAGACAGCGGCCCCGGGAACCCGACCCCGAGGAAAGCAGGGAGCCAGGGACCAAATAATCATAGAGAAGGGGGAAGGGGGGCCGGGTTTCAGCAAAACTAAAAAGATGAGGGCCCGTCTGGGCCCTCAGCGGGCGCCGCGCTCGCCCGTGCCAGCTCAGCCAGCTCGGCGCGCAGCCAGGCCTTCGGCCTCCTTGTGGGCGGTCGGCCTCTTGTGTGGCGGCTGGGCTCCCTTCGGCGCCTCGCGCTGAGCCCAGCCGCCCGGTCATCAGGTGGATGGCCGCCTTCTCTGCGGCGGCCTCCACCCTTCGGCGCTTGGCGCTGTGGAGGCCCGCCGAGCCTCTCTTGGACTTCGGCGTCTCTGCAGCAATCTCCTCGCCTGCCACGCGAGGGCGGTGGGGAGACCCCCTTCGGCGCCAGGCGCTGTGTCTCCTTCACCGCGGGGCAGGCTGCCCCTTCTGGTCGAGTACTCCATGGCTTCCAGTACTGCCTGACGTCGCAGAGCTGCACCTTGTAGGGCTCCATGTAGCGCCGCGGTGCTGCCGACGTCAGTCATGACCCTCCTGCTTTTGAAGGGCAGGGGGGTGCTGATCATCTGATGTTGTAGATGTCGATGTATGAGGGCTGAGTGCAGGATGTGGAGCGAGTTGGACGGTCGTTGGGGGTCGGTTCGTTGCTGGTGTTGTGTTGGTTGTGTGCTGCCAAGGCCTCCATGCACCGACTTCAAGTGGGGGTCGTTGCTGTCCCACCTCGTCCCGCTATGGCTAGGGGTCACGGTGCCCTCGGTGGGGGCGAACCCCAGGCCTGGTACTTGTTATCGTCGGAGTGGGGTGTCTCGGCTGTCCAGCTTCGCCCTCGGACGATCGGGTAGCTCCTCCTTCTCCATGGGAATGGTGAGGGTGGCGAGCTAGGGCGGACCGCGGGGGCGCAGGTAGTGGCCGTCCTACCCCCCCCCTGCCCATCACCATCCCCGCTGGCGGGCGCGGGAAGTACTCGTCCTTCCCCCCCAGCCCTTCGAGCCCGTCTCGAAGTTTGATCCTCACCAGGACAGCGTCGACTTGGCAGGAGTTGTGGGGGGCCGTGCTGGGTATGCTGTCGATGTCGGTCGGTGGTACGCTGACGGCCACTGGGCCGCCCGCTGCCAGCCAGCTGGCGCCATCCAAATTGTAGGTATCCAAGCCGCCGAGGTACACATCAAAACATGGCGACTTGTGCCTGGGGTGTTCCCTCGCATTCGGGGCTTCCCCAGGCCTTGCGTTCTAACAATAGCAAAACTTGGCGACGCTGCCTGAGGTCTTCCCACGCATTCGGGGCTTCCTCAGGACTTAAGCAGCACGCCGTAATGCCTGTCCAGGGCAAATAATCATAGAAATCAATGTCAATGTTGGAAAGTCGATAATCCAGAAAGTGCTCGAGGGGGGGCACGCTCCGTCGCCATTGAGGGATCGTGCCCACCCGTATGGGCGCTACGGGTCCCCCCCCCTCGAGTTGGCACGCAATCGTTGTCCAGGGCGCAGCCATGCCAGTAACCCATTAGCAACGGGGTATTGGGCCATGCAGTAGGTGCGCTGATGCTGACCCGTCTGCTGCCAATCTGAAGTACTCTGTATACAATATTGTAATGCCAGCTGCCCTCAAATCTGTAGCAAGCCGGTGGTCTGCGCCAATGCAGACCAATGTTCCCTTACGGGGCTGAAGTATATAATACTGAGCGCTTGACTCGGCTAGCTGCACCAAATAGGCCGCTGCAGTGCCAGCTGCTAGCGCCGATGGTTGCCCCATGCCCTGTGACAATCATGTCCGATCTGATCTGGCTCAATGTAGTAGTCCAAGGGGGCGTAGAACCTGTGGTAACATTCGTCCGTTTCGGCCCACATTGCCTCTTCGTCCGCAAGCTGCCCCCAGTGGGCTGCGAAAGCGGAAGCCATTGCCTTGCACAGCCTTGATGGATACTCTTTGAGGGGGGCGGTCCTCCAGCCGCCTTGGCCGTCTCGTCCGTAAGCTCTGGCATGTCCCGTATGTCGGCATAGCTGTCCACCAGGTACCGCCCTTAGCTCCTGTGCGAGTTCACCGAGGTGTGCCGCCATCAGACATGTTGGTTTTCTCGCATCCTGCCCGAACTGGCACTGGTCTATGTAGTGAAGTTCGACGCCCGTCTGCTCCAGGAGCCAGAGAGTCTCTGCTCGCTGCCAGCTGCGAGGCGCTTGAGGGCACCAGGTGGCTGGGGCGGGATGCTCGAGCACGGCTGAAACGTTGTACTGCAAGCCCGTGGTGATGAGTAGTAAAGCTGTCCTGTATAGCTCGTTGGCTAGTGCGATCTGCTGATGCTCCGCTTGACTAGCTGCTTGTATGCCCCAGGGGGCTTCATGTGTACGTAGTGGTCGTGGTGCATTCCCCTCGGCGGCATGCCAGCGCGATGAGCACCACGTCTCGCAGGGCGGGCCCGCCGCAATACCAAATATTTTGCCCTGCCGTATCGCTGCGCACCAAAACTCGACGACGTCTGGCATCGTCAGGTCTCCTTTGACGGGGTCTATCTGCACGTCGATCGATAGTACTACCAAGTTGCATTCCCGAATGTTCATCTCGAAGTGGTACTGGAAATCCTCGATTCGGCGTCTGCCCGAGAAAAGGTGCAGCAAGAACATAGCCGTGGTAACCATGGGCCTGCACGGTGAGAATACGTTTGCAGGTGGTGTCGCTGTTTGGACGTCCGCTGCTGCAGGCGGGGCCGGTGAGAGTTGAAGCTGATGCTGCTCTATGTAGTCGGCCAGCTTGAGCTGTATGACCTGTTGGGCGGGCACCAGCGCTTTTGTAGCTCCGTGCCCCATTGCCTTCCTCGCCGCCACAGCTTCTCGTTCTTCTTCTCGGCGTTCGGCTGCGTCCAGAGCGGCAGCGGCACCTCGTGCCCCCCGCCGCCAGACCAGGAGCGGCGGGACGTCGAGCGGCGGGATTCGCCGCGGCGCCGGAGCCGTTCCCGGCAGCGCAGAGAGAGCGACGGACCCAAAGGGGGGTTGCAGTGTTCTGCTCGTCGGCGTCGTCGTCGTCTTCCTCATCCTCGTCCTCCGGATTTTAGATTGTTGATTCAGCCGCTCATGGTCGTTAGTTGTGTTCCCCCCTGTTCTCTCGGCGGTGAATAGGACTGGTCCTAAAACCTCCTCCTCCTCCTCCCTCGTCGTCGTCGTTGTCGTCGTCGTTGTCGTCTTCGTCGTTGTGGCGACACGTAGCTGTCGTCGTCTTTGTTGCGCGGCGGGTGCCGCGGAACACAAACCTTTCGTTACCTCCTATAGGTGAGGCCCCAGTCTTTCAATGAGGCTGTCAAAACAAAATAGTTAACCCCCTTATTGGGAAGGGGGCTCTAAAGACCTTTCAGGGTTAAATATTTTCCTCCCTCACTCCCCGCTTTAGCCCCCAGAGGCCCCCGGAGGCCCTCGGAACCTGTCAGGGGCCTCCAGAACTTTTAGGACCGGGAGATCTCTGGGTGCTTCTGGAGGTGCGACCCTGCTGCCTCGGCCCCCAGGACCCCATGGACATCCTTGGAGCGGCTAGGTCACTCTGCCTCCTCCTCCTCCCTCCCCATCCCCCTCCAAGGGGTGCCTCCATGCTGGGCTTTGCCTTGTGTCAGTAGCCATTTTGGCCCAATCCATTTTGGCTCAAGAGCCTTTCCGAGGCCCAGGCCTTTGCTTTTGCGAAACGTTCGGAAAGGCCGTGCGATAGCGAGCCATTCCCCCAGGCACGGACTGTTGGTCCAGGGGCGATGGGTTCGTTGCCAGTGCGGGTGTGAGAAGAATTTGGCGACGTGGACATGGTGTCAGCACTGTAAGTCGCCATGGTCACCGACATGTGAATGGACATGCCCTTCCACTAAGTCACTAAGGACGGTGCGCCCTCCGAGGACGAGTCTGCTCTTGCTTTGGACGGGTTGTCTCCTGATGTATATGATCAATTTGCTGTGCTCCGCGAGAAAGGAAGGGGTGCCGAAGGTGGTGCTCAGTATCGAGCCGCGGCACAGGATCGACGCATGCCTTCCCCCTGCGCACAGCAAGCTCAGGCAGACGGAGAAGCGGGCTCAAGCAGCTCTCATTAAGTACGAGGAACAGGAAAGTGCTCTCCGCCGTCACGGTGAAGAGGTCGCCTCCTTGCGACAGGAGCTTCATACGGTGGAAGGCACTCGCACAAGTCTCTCATTGGTAAGCTTGCTCGTGAGCACGCTTCTTGGTGCGCAGTGCTCTCCGTTAAGGAAATATTGGGCGGCAACGTCGATGGCGTGCTCACCATTGCTGTGGGCCCCCTCGATGTCGACGACCCAGTCAGCAGCGCCTGCACGAGAGGCCGTCGGCGCAACTGGCGCCGGTGGCGGTGCCGCAGCAGCAGCATCAGCATCGGCGGCGCCCAGCGGTGGAGCAGTTTCGGCAGGAGGAGCCGCATCGCCAGCGAAGGCGCCTGAGACCCAGAGCCAGCCTTCAGCTGAGCCTGTGCGTGAGCTTCCCACTGCCGAACTCAAGGCTCGCGCCGACGCTGCGCTCGTAGCCGCAGCAGATTCTGAATATGAGCTCCCCCCTGCGTAGGCCATCGCCTAGATGCAGGGGGGGCGGCGCAAATCGCACTTTTCACACATCTCCCACGGCCGGTCGGCCCTTCTGCCGTCGTTCCCTCCGCGCTCGTGATGTCCGCTACAAAGCCGAGGGGGCCTTAGGAATGCGGCGCGTTGCACTTTGTGGAGGTCGCAACGAGTTCTGTCGGAAGGTTGCCAAGGTCATGGCTCGCTGCAGGCCTCCGCCGCGGAGCCGGCCAGTTTTGTTTGCCCTATGAAGGCCTATATTGTCCTGGCTCCTCCGGGGCTCGACTCTCCTGTGGTCGTGGTGCCTGGCGCCAGGATTTCCACTGCCCCCTCTTCCTCGCTTGTGACCCCCGGGTCCACGCGCGGCCCCGCGGTGTCCGACGGGCTGAGCTCGATCGAATGAGTTGTTCGCAGTCTCAGCTGCAACGGCTGGGGCGCTCTCGAGGAGATGCTTCCTGGCGCGCCTGCCGCGGTTCCCCTGGTTCAGGAGCATCAACGTAGGCTCGCCTCTAATGAGCGTGTACATGTTGCCTCTCAGCGGCGTGCTCGCAATGGCTGGAAGAGTTTGTGAGCCCCAGCTGTTTCGACGGAAGGAGGCACTTCGGGAGGTACTGCGGCGCTCGCTAGATTCTTGCTCGGTTTGTTTCCCCCTTCGGAGGGGCACTGCGTCGCCAGGTGTCATCTCTCGCAAGCGATGGTGCAGGTCCCAGGGGGGATCACGTTCGACGCTATCTCTGCGTGCTTGTATGACAACGACATGGGCGTTCCTGTCAGTTGGGCGTTCGCTCAGGCCGCTTCTGCCTCGCTTGCTTGTCATAGGAGGAGATTGGAATATGTCTCCTGACACGCCTCGCTCAACTAAGTTTGCGTCGGAGCTCCAGGGCCAGCTGATTCGCGCTCCTGGCCGCGCCCACTTCGGAACGGGGGGCCCCGTCCACCTTTGATTTCTTTGTGTG